ACATAAGAACAACAATATATTTAATTAGTCAATTGCACCAAACTACAGCAGAATTTGAATGTGTATAAAGAAGATTCAGTACTGGCTCTAGAACGCTACCCTGTAGCATCATAGCACACCTATCTATTACATCTGAATAAGTATTTTCTTGTGTTTCTTGAAATGTTCTGTCTGAGATAAATTATTTAAATATATCTGAAAATTGTCTAGGTAGTAATATCCTAAGTTTAAATTCCAGTCCTTCATACCATATCTTATCAACTGCTTGAGATATAGCTAAGAAGCCTGCTGAGCAAATTTTCTTACTTCCATTGTACTTTCTATCAAATCTGTTTTTTTATAACTTAGTCGATTGTTGAGTGTTTAGCTCTAAACCCGAACTGATGATCTAATACGAGTGCTTTTTCTTCTAGTATTCGTATTTAAGAATAACTTTTTAAGATTTTTTTGGTGGCATAACCACAAGGAGCAAAATAAGAAAATATATAGACATTGTCGTGTTGTTTTTGGGGTAAAGTCAAGTCCATTCTTGTTAGCAGCCACTATTAATTATCACTTAGATAAAGCTCCGGTTCATTTAAAAAACACTGTAAGTAAGTTAAAAGATTCTTTTTACGTAGACAATCTTGTAACAAGTGTTAATAGCCGAGAAGAGTTACATTATTTAATTACGGAATCCAAAGAACTGATGGGGCTAGGTAATTTTAATCTTAGAGAATGGGTCTTTACTAATGAAAATGATACTCCAAAGGAAAAGTTTGTTAAAGTCTTAGGAATATTATGGGATACAAAAAATGATAATTTAATTTGTGATATAAATACACTTAATGGACTTAAGCATACACCAAAAACAAAAAGAGGTCTATTGTCAGTTGCTCAAAGATTATTCGATCCTATTGGATTCACTTGCCCAGTTACAATTCAGCCAAAATTATTATTACAGGTAACATGGCAGTTAAAACTTGGTTGGGATAGTATTTTACCAGATGATTTATTCATTAAATTTGAAAAATGGTTAAAACAAATTAATTTTTTACGTTATTGTACAGTACCTAGAGCTATTAATGCAAAAGAGCCATTTAAGTTAGATAAAGCAACTCATGTTTTTTTTTAGATAGTAGTAAAATAGCTTATGGCTGTTGCATATTTTTGAGAGTTAATTTTGGTCAATCTGTGGCAGTACGATTAACTCAAGCAAAGTCAAGGATTGCACCAAAAAATATAACAATTCCTTGTTTAGAACTCTAAGCAAGTTTGATTGGTGATTAGGTTATGCGAGAGTATTAAAAAGGTTAAGACATTGGTACTCTGGAAACGTTTTACTGGACCGATGAAATGGTAGTATTAGGTTGGTTACAGTCCAAAGGACCATGGAAAACATTTGTACGGAACAGGGTGCCATAGATTAAAATGTACACAAATAGTAATCAGTGGCGGTACATACCTACCAAATTAAACCCTGCTGATTTAACTTCAAGAGGATGTAGTTGTAAATCTCAGCTAGAGAGTAAATGGTTACAAGGTCCACAATGGCTAAGTGATGATGTTAAAAGTTGGCCATGTTTTAACATTGACTACTCCAAAGAAGAGATAGATTTGGAAAGAAAGAGAGAGACAGTAAGCTCTCTAGTACATGTAAATAATATTTCTAAAGATTTTAGTTACTTTTCTAAATTTATTAGGATAGTCAGGATGATATCCTGGATGATGAGGTTTTTTAACAACAGTAGTCAAAATAAAGAGAAACTGATTGGCGAATTGACTGCCGAAGAAATAGAGCAAGCAGAACTAAAGATAATTATTTAGTAAGAAAGTTTTGAAAATAATGAGAATATAAAAGGTTTAGAAATATTCGTAGATGACAAAAGCATCTTAAGGACAAAAACTAGATTAATTTATGGAGAAGATGACTTAGATTTCAAGTTTGCTATATTACTGCCTTCTCAACATGAACTTGTAAGAAAATTAATTTTTGCTCAACACATTATAAATTGCCAAGCTGGAGTTCAAAATTATTTAGTAAGAAAGTTTTGAAAATAATGAGAATATAAAAGGTTTAGAAATATTCGTAGATGACAAAAGCATCTTAAGGACAAAAACTAGGTTAATTTATGGAGAAGATGACTTAGATTTCAAGTTTGCTATATTACTGCCTTCTCAACATGAACTTGTAAGAAAATTAATTTTTGCTCAACACATTATAAATTGCCAAGCTGGAGTTCAAACTTTACTAAGAAAAAAGTACTGGATACTGAGATGAAGACGCACCATTAAGAAGGTAATATTCCAATGGACTATTTGCAAAAAATTTAGGTCCAAAGCAGTTGAAGTACCAATGCCACCTTTGCCAAAAGAAATAATAAATAATGCAGCCTCTTTCGAAATTTGTGGCATAGACTTAGCAGGCCCGTTGTATTTGAAAGGTGGAACAATGGCCTGGATAGTTCTTTTCACTTGTGCGGTTTATAGAGCCGTACATCTCGAATTAATTAATTCAGTCTCAGCAGATGCTTTTAATATGGCATTAAGATTTGTCGCAAGAAGGGGTCGTACACGTGTAATATATTCTGATAACGGAACAAACTTTGTAGGAACTAATAATGCACTACAATAAATAAACTGGAACACAATTTTAGAGTACTCCTCAGTACACAAAATAAAATGGATATTTAATGTACCTACTGCTGCGTGGTGGGGAGGATTCTGAGAGAGAATGGTAAGATTGGTTAAAGAATTGTTGAGAAGAAATTTAGGAAAAGCTTGTGTCAGTTATGACGAGTTAATGACCCTTAACCTACATCTATGAAGACAATAGCTTCTTAAATCCTTTGACTCTGTTTGATTGCACTTTTAATAACTCAAAAAAACTGCTTTATGGTTTTTTATACGAATTTAATGTAATAGAAAAAATACAAAACTAACAGAATAACCCGTTTGCCGGTCAACGTTGCACCATGCGCTTCAATTTTTATACAATCTTAAGTGCCCTATGCCGTTTAGAACAAGGCGCAAAGAATATGCCATTTGTGTGCGGCGTTGCCGGTTTTAAAATAAAGTAGATACGGCAACGCTGAATATCATATTTTACGAATTTACAACCTAGTACCCATTTTTATGAATGCAATGTAGTTACCGTAACCAGCAGCAACGTTGCCAATCGGGCTATTTTGAGTTTCTGACAGTTTCTGTGTGACTTATTGATTTATTCATTTATAAAATACTATTTTGGTGAACTTTTGTGAGAAATAAAGAATTATGGTAAATGCTTGTGTAGTGTTCAATAAGGTAGATTATTTAAATCGAAATGTATCCTTTCATCAGTAAGTATTTTTAGGTTAAGATATGTTGTTTTCATTTGAACCAGTGGCGTAGGGCACCCGTCTTAAGACTGTTTTGACTATACAATTTCTTGTACAAGATTTGATACAATTTCTTATATAATTTAAATTGTATAGGATCACATAATAAATTGTTAGAAAAATGATTATCCAATCTAATTTTTCAGACAATTAACTGCAGGTTTGATAATATACAATTTAAATTGTACAAGAAATTGTATCAAAAACTTGTGTAGTCTAAAACAGTCTTAAAACAGTTTTTAAAGTGATATTCCTTTTATAAATTTGTAAATTATTTTTATACCAGTAAATAATTATTAAATACTGGCAAAGAAAATTTAACGTAAAATGTAGAATACCTTAAAAATGATCTACCTATTACGCACCTATACACATTTTTTAATATTCTATTTAGGTTTCCGCAAGATCCTGAGAAAAGAAAACTTTGGTTTTCTCTAGTAGGGATCCGTGAAAATGAGCCCATTCGTAAAAATCCAGAAATGTGTTCAGAACACTTTTTTCCTGAAGATATTTTAGTACGTGCAAATGGTGCTAAATATATCAGAAAAGATGCAAACCCCAGACGATAGGAGGGCTTTCCATTTTTAGATGACTTATCCAACAGGTAAAAATACAAAATATTAATTTTTTTTACCTCTAAACATTATTTATTACCTATATGTATGTATATACCGGGTGTTCAACTTAAAGCTTTACAGCTATATACCGCTTTTTATAAAAAAAAAAGTTTCAGACGAAAGTTTTATAGTTTTGTGGGGAAAAACTTTTGGCTAAAATCGTTTTTTATAGCTAACCATAATATGGCCAACTTTTTTTTCGCGCAGCAACATTTTCAAGTAGCTGTTACTCAAAAAGTAAAATTCCAATAAAAAAATATTTCCCTCAAAAGTTTCTTATTTTTTATGTACTTTAAGAATATGTAAGAAAAAAATGGGATTCCCATTTAAAAAAACAAAGTCCACCTCGATATGGCCATATTATGGCCAACTACAAAAAAAATAATTTAGCCAAAATATTTCCCCCAAAAAACTATAAAACTTTTGTCTGAAACGTTTTTTTCTAAAATGCATATTTTCGGCGGTATTTGACTGTAACACTTTAAAATGAACACCCGGCATAATGTATGGGTTTTTAGTTCTGATTCAACTGTTTTTGGAACACCTTCTGCTGCAAAAAAACATTGCAGTAAGTGATAACAGTAATAACTAAGCTTAATAAAATTAAAAAAAAATTTACCTAATAAAATGAAGGTATTTAATATATTTAAAACGTTATTTTAAAAAATTTTAAAAAATTTTAAACAATTATATATTTTTAGGACAGTGTTTTATTTAGATACCCCTACCTACTTAATGTTAATTCGATCGATTTAAAGCAGTAAATATATTTTCCTTATAATTTAACATTAGTGGATGTGATTTAAAAAAACATTTGAGTAAACGAAATCTGTGCTTTTATATTTAAAATCTACAACTATTATTTGACAAGAAATTGGGAAGAATGTTTAACTATAGTTTGAAATTTCTGGATAAATAGCACCTCCTTTCGTTGTAGTAAATAAGAGCAATGTTTAAAGAAATGTTCATCAAATTTTGCTAACACGATTTTTCAAAAATAATTTTTAAATATAAAATATCTTACGTGAAGTTGCTGTATCTTCATTTTGAGAAAATGTCCTGGGTTTGTATCTCTCACAAATAGTATAAAAACGAGTATCACATGGATAATCGTGCCAATATACTGATCCTAAAGTATTACGTATTGCTATGCACTGTTCACCCTTATATTGAGGCTGAAATAAAGCCCATCTGGTATAATTCATGTTAGACTTGGAAGACAACCATATCCAATTGTGATTATCTATTAGTTTAGTACCAGCAGTCCAATAAAATGATAAAAATGAAACTGAAACATTTAGGAGGATTTAGATCTATCTATACTGAATTAGATCGGAATTATTTTTCTCTACATAGTTTATACTTATTTAGATTTAGACTGATTTAAACCAATTTCAATCTATTTTAACAGGTTTTGAATGAATTTACATCGTTTTAAACCTATCTAGATATATTTAGACTTATTTAAACTAATTCAGATTAGCTTAAAAATATATTTAAAACGGTTTAGACCTGTTGCGATTGAATATGTAAGGTTATGTAAGTTTAAAGTTAAAAACATGTGGATACATTTTTAGGAGAATTTTAAAATAGAATTCAAATATTTGGAGTACTTACAGGAACGTCCAATGATTTTGTTGATAGCTTCATTTTCATTGTAATCTCTAATATTCACTAATTTCATATTGATGTTTTCGCAAAACTGCATGGATTCTAAGAAAGTTAACTAAAAAAATAATGATTTAGTTCATCAAAAGGTTTATTACATAATGTGAAGCCAAATTAAAGCCTCGAAGTCGACTAAGCGACTTGTGTAGTGGAAGGGACGACTATTTATTAATTATTATTATTATTATTATTGCCGTGGCGCTACGGGTCGACTTAAAGATGATTGATGGTGCCATTTGACTCACAGGTGAGGAAAACCCGGAAAACCACACCATCATCGAAAACGGTAACGCATGGCGATTTTTATAATCTGATTGTCATATCAACAGAAATTACATTTCTTCCAATACGGCATCCATCAAATCCTATAGAGAACCATAGAAATAAATACACATGGTCTTCTTTGTCTTTATAGAACTGCCACACTGCTACGTAATAAAAGGTAATCAAAGGGTGACGGATGTTTGACGAGTGTGACGTAATGCAAGAATGCAGAACATATGTAGTGCGTGCAAGTCACTCATTACACATATTATAATATCTATATAAAAAAGTCCTTACCTTAAAATGGTATCCAACATAATAATATTTATCTCCATAATTATGTAATTGTAACGGAGAACTATCATGAGAGGCGAAACTATTTTCCCATCCTAAAAGATAAGGTGAATAATGTTATTACTTTTATGACTATATCAAAATGTATCTAATGTAGCTAATAAAAATGTCATTGTTTACTAATACTATTTTAATTTTAATGCTACTCAAGTTTTTTCATATTTCTATCTTGAAAATACCCTGCAATTTATTTTTACAATGACCATTCTTCACATAAATATTTTTCAAAATCGGATGTGTTGCCAGACTCACATCTTATGTCACCGCGATTCATATTATTATACTCTTCACACAGTAGTCTATGAAAAGTATTATAGATTTACTTTCAAGAAACCAAAATTTAAAAATGTTGTACCAAAACCCTTCTTACCAAATTTTAAACAACTTTTAAAATTGTCTCGTCCGTCCGATGTCACGTTTTTTGTCCGCACGATAAGTCAAAAACGAAAAATAATATGAACTTAAAAGGTTTGTTTCAACAACAATCTTGGAACTATACACAAACCAGTTTACAACTTATTGTCGACGACTGATAGTCGACGACCAGTCCACGACCTGTCTATGATTGGGACTGAATTCGGAACTTGGTTGTGTTGGAACATTATGTTTCGGTTGTCACACACACTGTCAATAACGTAAAAGTAAAAAAAAACATTAACAGATGTTAAATTTAGAATTTGGAAAATAAAAAAATTTTAAAACTCGTTAAAAGATTTATAAATTTTGATTATTCGATTAGTTAGTACATTAACTTATTTTATTTTTTACTGTATCTAAGTCAGAATAATAGTCCTTTTAACTTTTTACACTCATTACCTCACAAAATAATATACTATAAATAATGATAATGAATAAAAACCAAATTACGATCCAGACTATGATCGATGATGCTATAGGTTTGTTCCAACATAAACCAAATCAGTTTGCGTACTGTCGGGATTCTGCGCAGTCTAGAATTTGTGTTCCAACAAACCTTAGACTTGAAACTGTACAAATACATAGTGTTCCAACACAACCAAAACTAATCACAAACCGATTTGTGTACTGTCAAATCAGTTCCTGGGTCTGAATAGGAACGAATTGTCAAGACATGCGCAAAGCCGCAATAAACTGAACATATCGTGATTGTAATTATATTATTTGTAACTGACAGTTCTGATTTGTATTTGTTAATCGAGTTTACTCTTTATAGTTTTTGTTCATGATCATTTATTTTATTTTGTGGTTTATTATTGTAATAATGCGTCTGTTGAATTTAAAAAATGTGTTCCAACATAATCGACTTCCGAGTTGAGTCCCAATCCCCGACCAGTGCCTGACAAGTTGTCAATTACTAGTCATCGACAGATTGTCAACAATAAGCTTTGGACTGGTTTATGTATTGTTCCAAGATCGTTGTTGGAACAAACCTATCAAAACGAATATAATCACGACATTTTCAGAGTTGGTCGTGATTGATTTACGAGCTTACTTTCGTTTTGCGCATGTCTTGACAATTCGTTCCTATTCAGACTCAGGAACTGATTTGACAGTACAGAAACTGGTTTGTGATTAGGTGTGAGTATGTTGGAACACTAGAATATTGTACAGTTTTGAGTCCGAGGTTTGTTGGAACACCAAATCTAGACTGCGCAGAATCCCGACAGTACGTAAACCGATTTGCTATTGCGTTGGAACAAACCTAAAATGTTCAAGAAAAACAATCTCTATAAGGGAACGAATTCTATTAGGCATTCCAAACAAATTAATTGCCAGTGGGAAAGTTTGGCATATCCCAAGGGTTGCGACATACGATGTATTCTGTTTACGATACGTAAAATCATGAAACCCGCTTATACATTTCTTCATAAATTGGCACACTTAGCCGATTACTATTTCGAATAAAATAGCATCCAAGATGCAAGATTATGTCGCTACCCCCCTTAGATATACAAGAACTTCCCACTGGCATCTATTGTTTGACAGGTCGTGGGAATGCCTAATTGATTTTGAAAAAAATCTGATTAAAAATAAAGGGGTTAAGGGGGAATTGAAACGAAATTTTTAGGAAATATCAAGCTCTGCAATGGGATGAAGCCTATTGATTTTTAAAAAATCTAATTAAAATGGGGTTTTAAGAGAGCTTAAAATTAAAAACGAAAAACAATATCAACTTGAAATGTTTGGGAAAATCAAGTTATATAAGGGGACGAAGCTTATTGATTTTTAAAAAATCTGAATAAAAATAGAGGAGTTAAGGGGGTGAAAATTAAAAAAAAAATCGTAAATCAACAATGAAATAATTTTTCAGCTCAAACAGTGGCGTGCGTACGGACACTAGCCCCAATATTTTTAGGTACGTTTAAAAAAAAATTTCATATGAATGTATGTATGTCCTAATCTCGTAATTTTTGAGATAGAAGGTGGTAAAATTTTTAAAAATTATTATTTTGTAAATATATGTAATACCAATTTGTATATTTTAATTAAATTGGGTATGCCGGTACTATGCGCTAAGAGACATTTTTTTCATTTCCACCAGTGGCGTTTATGGCACGCCACTGATTTCTATTAAACTAAAAATCATGGAAATAAAAAGCAGTGTAGTACATCAAAAAATGCTACTTGTTACATAGTAAAATCTCGGAAATACCACAAGTCCATTCGCTTTAGGGACCTAAAGATAGGAAGCGCAACGACCGCAGCAACAATGGCGTCATCTATGCGTCTCAAATTTTAAATAAAAGTATACGTTTGTAGCCACACCACTGTTGCCAAATATTTTTTTTGCAAGTAGTTTTTGATTTTTATTGTTTTATGTTATGAAGTTGTTGCAGATATTTACTAAAAAAGGGAAGATCGTTTTTTTACATACAATCTCACTGATGCAATCGTACATCGTACAGAGAGTTTAAAAATCGTATAAATACGATTTAAATCGTATAGTTTGCAATACTGAGATAGACCGTAGACGTCGGCAGCGGTGGAGAGTTTGTTAATATAAATGTCAGTTAGTTTTATGTATATCGAAGAATCCTGAATTTAAATTTAAAATTTTGAGTTTAAAATTTCACCCAGCGCGATGAATTTGGGCTGAGCCTCGGCTGAGCCAACATATGCTTAGACATGCGCAGTGAGATGACAGTTCATTGTTGTGCGTGTTATCTTGATTTTTAAAATGTACATATTATGGAAACTAATACAGAAAATTTGTCAACCTACAGTTTGGTGTTTTCTGACGAGGATCAGCATCAGCCAATAATTGCAAACAATATAAGGTTATGTTCAACAGTCTAATGTAATTTGTTTAAAATTTGTAGATTTTGATATTTCAAAAGTATTTAACAAAATGGTGAAATGATTTAATGATCAATCAAAAACTTTAATTCTAAACGTAGTTTCCTATTTTAAGAGACACAAATCTATTTGCGAGGCTCTTGAAAAGAGGTAAAATAAAATGGCTGCAGAAGCATTAAATATTTCGCAGAAAACTATCTAAAGACTTAGTAAACAACTAATTCTGATACGGAGTATGAGAAAATAATGTTTAAAAAAGTAAGCCAAAGTAAAATAAAAGTAAATTCTTTAATATTAAGTAAGTTGAGGCAAGTTATATACAGGGTAGCTGTTAAAGATGGAACCAAACCTATAGTGCTTAAACGGTTCAACATACAAAACCCAAAATTTCAGAATTTCAACTAAATATATTTGCGCATATTTTAACCCAAAAATTATTTTTTTTATAATTACAAAATTTGAAGTATGGCCGCCATCTTGATTTTTTTAAATAGCAACATAGGTCATGTGATATACCATTTGAAAGGGTTTAACACCCTCATTACAAAAATGTATCACACATGGGGTATAAACACAAAAGCAAGGATATTATTATTGGGGAGCGTAGAAGGCCGTGCATTTGACACAAGACGTCAAATATTTAATTATTAATTTATTATTAATAATTTATTTTGTTTATAAATTATCGTTTTCATAAAAATGTAAAATACATGTAATAGGGTTAACATTAAATTATATTGCTCCAATAAAATGGCTTAAGTTTACAAAAACGTTTATAAATATCCTTTCTGTTGTGTTTAGACCCCATGTGTGATACATTTTTGTAATCAGGGTGTTAAACCCTTTTAAATGGTATATCACATGACCGTTTTTGTAAACTTAAGCCATTTTATTGGAGCAATATAATTTAATGATAACCCTATTACATGTATTTTACATTTTTATGAAAGAGCTAATTTATAAACAAAATAAATTAATAATTAATAATAATAAATTAATAATTAAATATTTGACGTCTTGTGTCAAATGCACGGCCTTCTACGCTCCCTAATAATAATATCCTTTCTTTTGTGTTTAGACCCATGTGTGATACATTTTTGTAATCAGGGTGTTAAACCCTTTCAAATGGTATATCACATGACCTATGTTGCTATTTAAAAAAATCAAGATGACGGCCATGCTTGAAATTTTGTAATTATAAAAAAAAAATAATTTTTAGGCTAAAATATGCGCAAATATATTTAGTTGAAATTCTGAAATTTTGGGTTTGGTTCCATCTTTAACAGCTACCCTGTATAAGATGTACGAAGATGCGCAACATGTAAGAATGAAATTGTAATATAAACGATTTTCGAAAGAAATGTCTTGTCTAATGTTCTGCAAGGTCAATTAATACATGGATTCGAAAAATAGGCTTTTACTTTAAAAAAGTAGCAACAGACAGTTTTTATTGGAACGAACATTGATTCAGTTAAAAAAATTTCATTTTTAAAAAATAGGTACCTTTAAGTCTGAATTTATGGATGATAAGTGGAAATATAGCAAGGGAAGTGGCAAAAAAAAGTTGGCAAGATGAAACGATGGCTACTGCAAGTCAGGGCTTTTTCAATACGTCAATGTTACGTTGTACATATTAGTACGTTTTTTGTTAAAAATAGTCAATTCAGTACCATTTTCAGTACTATTTGGACATTTTTCAAAGAAAGTGACGTATAGTCTATTTAAAATAGGTAACGGTAAAAGGTCGAGAAACGCCGCA